TTTCTATGGACGGAAAAAAGCAGATACGGATTAAATGGTTTTCAATGCATTCCTATGGGAAATGCAGATTCAACATAAGAACTTTTCAACTTGAGAACCACCTTCCAATACGGATTAAGTTCTTAAGTAGAGACCCCACTCTCTCTGTGTGTGTGTGTGTGTGTGTGTGTGTGTGTGTGTTTTACCATGTTATATATAGGCGTTATATTGACGTGTATTGATGTGTGTGTGTGTGTGTATACCAAGCACCAGTGGGTATGGGGGGGTCCTACTGTACATAATTGTACATAATACCGTACAATTACACTCATTGCATTCATTCCACACGTTAGCAAGGTTATGGTCAAAAACCTACAAGATATGCTTCAGCAGTATGTGGACCGAGAACTCCCAGAAGTACAAGCTGGATTTTGAAGGGGCAGAGGAACTAGAGACCAAATTGCTGACATGCGCTGGATTATGGGGAAAGCAAGAGAGTTCCAGAAAAACATCTACTTCTACTTCATAGACTATGCAAAAGTCTTTGACTGTGTGGACCACAACAAACTATGGCAAGTTCTTAAAGAAATGGGAGTGCCTGAACACCTTATCTATCTCCTGAGAAATTTGTATGGGGGACAGGAAGCAACAGTTAGAACTGGATATGGAGCAACTGATTGGTTCAAAATTGGGAAAGGAGTATGACAAGGCTATACAGTGTAATGTCCCCTGGCTTATTTAACTTATATGCAGAATACATCATGCGGAATTCTGGACTGGAGGAATCCGAAGCCGGTATTAAGATTGTTGGAAGAAATATCAACAACCTCAGATATGCAGATGATAACCACTCTGATGGCAGAAAGTGAGGAGTAATTAAAGAACCTCTTAATGAGGGTGAAAGAGGAGAGTGCCAAAAATGGTCTGAAGTTCAACATAAGAAAAACTAAGCTCATGGCCAGTAGTCCCATCACCTCCTGGCAAATAGAATAGAACTTATGTAAGCCGCCCCGAGTAGACGTTGTCTAGAGGGGCGGGGTAAAAATCAAATAAATAAATAAATGAAGATATGGAGGCAGTGACAGATTTTACTTTCTTGGGCTCCATGATCACTGGAGATGGTGACAGCAGCCACAAAATTAAAAGATGCCTGTTTCTTGGGAGGAAAGCGATGACAAACCTAGACAGCATCTTAAAAAGCAGAGCCATCGCCTTGCCAACACAGTCAAAGATATGATTTTTCCAGTAGCGATGTATGAGAGCTGGATCATAAAGAAGGCTGACTGCCGAAGAATTTATGCTTTTGTATTGTGGTGCTGGAGGAGACTCTTGAGAGTCCTCTGGACTGCAAAGAGAACAAACCTATCCATTCTAAAGGAAATCAACCCTGAGTGCTCACTGGAAGGACAGATCCTGAAGCTGAGGCGCCAATACTTTGGCAATCTCATGAGAAGAGAAGACTCCTGGAAAAGACCCTGATGTTGGAAAAGTGTGAAGGAAAGAGGAGAAGGGGACGGCAGAGGACAAGATGGTTGGATATTATTACCAAAGCTATCAATATGAATTTGACCAAACTCTGGGAGGCAATGAAAGACAGGAGGGCCTGGCGTGCTCTGGTCCATGGGGTTACGAAGAGTTGGACACGATTTAAAAACAACAACAACTGTACATAAAGATGACTGAGCTGGCATCATGCCTATGCATCTATGAACCTTCAGGCACTGTACAAACAATGCAACAAAATTGCTTTAGCTCACAATGTCTTTGATCGGAACTGTAACAATTTCAGATACTAAAATCAGAATTGTAATCTTTTACAAAGCACAACTGATAGATAGTATACATAAATATGATACTCTTTTAGCAACAGTTCTCCCCCATTTACCCCCAAAGACCAGCTTTTACATCACTTTTGAACCTGGAGCAAATTTAAGTCAGCATACATGAACAGCTAACAAATTCAAATATGTATTCGTACATAAGCAACAGCCTTTTAAAATCAGATTCCAGCTCCAATATTCTGTACATATGTGCACTATTAACAAGTGACAATGTTTCTATGTATTTCCATTTGGAAATTATGTGTCAAGTTAGTAGCCAGCAGAATTCAATGAAACATCCTATGCTGGTGAGCAGCAAGAGAAAATCCATAAATTGTGTAGGCAATGTATCGTATTTTTCCTTTTATAAGATGCTACTTTTTCCTAAAATTGTTAGATTAAAAATTGAGGGTCATCTTACACATTGAAGTAAGCTGAGGAGAGAACAAAATGGCTCATATCTTGTCTCTGCAAACAGGCTTCCTTCAATCACAAAGCTTAGCTTCCTACAGTCATGAGCCTTATGTAACTGACATCAGCTGATGCTGAACAAACCAATTGCTACAGTGCTCAGATGCAACAGGGACTCCTAATGTCCCGTGTTCTAAGCCCAGAGGCTGAAAAGTGTGATGCATAATATGAATATGACAGTACTGGTATGTAAATGTTATCTAATTACTAAATAAAAATGTGCTCTGTTTTATGTTTAGAATATTGATTTCTTAATTTTGGGTTAGAAAAGGGGGGGCTTCATTCAAGCAAAATCTGTGGCAGAAATATGCACAGAATTCTAATTAATGCACAAGAGATCAAGAAAGCAAGTATTTTACAGTCACTCAGTTTTCATATTCAAGGTGGTATTTTAGGACCTTGTCAACAGCTTCTATAACAAAACCAGTATTCTGAAATTAAACAGAGTTGTAAGCTGAACGATTGCTTTATTCTTGCAGGACACTTATACCACATTATCCTATATTTTCCATGGGAAGCTGTATCATTTAGTCATGTTTCTCAGCAAACAGATCAGATGACATTGTATGTAGCACAAGGAAAACATATGCTAGTAGGCAACAGTTTTCATTGCCTCTGGGAAAGTTAAGCTGCTTGAGGATCTCATTCATTATTTGGATCAAGCTTCAAATAAGAGAATCCTGTCTTTCAAGCTCAAGGAAACTTTTTGTTACTCATCTACACTGAGGAAGCCCATCTTTTTCAAACATTTCTAGTTAGGAAAATTTATAGCAAGAGGAAGAAAGCTACATAGACTAACTGTAAGAAGCAGAAAAATTATTAAGAATTAAGAAAACAATAGATAATTTATTACCCCACTTCCCAATTAATCATCGTTTGGTCGTCAAACCATTATTCATTAATTACTGCTTCATTCTCTAACGAAATCCCATGTGCACTTTTTGAGAAATTCTGTAAAATGTTAATCAGTGTGTATAGAGTGTAAGTGCACCTGTTTGTTATTGAAAACCAGAAGAGTCAAGACCACAAAGCACAGGAGCAAGAGGAATCAAGTTCCAACAACTCTTTCCAAAGCCAGGCTCAGGTAGCCCCTAAAATAGTCAACAACATACAGAGAGATACAGGGGAAGGGTGCAGAGGTGATTTAACTATACTGTTACTGTGCCACTTGTTTCATAAGGGTAAAGCTCGGATTGATATTAACCTAACATGCTTAGGCTGAATAATTGTAGTAAAATGAATGAACACTTCACAAAACATATATTTATTTCCTGTAGAAAAATAGTTCAGGACATAAAAGGAAAACTTTTCAGCTTGCAGATGGCCAAAATTCAACGTATGCTATTGGCCTCTTGACCAAAACACACACACACAAATCAAAAGAAAAATAAGAGGATTCATCATACCTTAACATCCGCAATAAGGGCATCCTCATCTTCTATGCCTGTGGGCACACACTTCTTGTGTAGGGGTAAAGACTCCAACTTGTCCACCAGACAGCGAAGACCTTCAAGCTCAAATTGTGTCAGGTGCACCTTCTTCTCCTTATGAGGGCTGTGAGAGCCCCAGGTTTGTCCATTGTGAGAGCTGCGGCTGGACTCGGAGTCCATGGAGAGAGTCCTCTTAAGACCTGGCAAACTCCGGCAGCCTTTGCCTAGCTCTTCATAATCTAGATTAGCACCATTGGCCACAGGACTGGTGAGGACTGACCGTCTAGTAACCGGGCGATGTGACTCCTTTCCTCCTGTTGGATCATCTTCATCCATGTTCCCTGACTCTGAGCTGCACAGCTCCATGTCTGTATGTATATAAAACACATAATAATGATATTATGTTGAATAGGTTTGTGTATTGGGCATGTATGTTTATTTAGCATATTTTATTGCCTTCTTTAACTCCTCCCTCAAAGCAGCTCACATTGATAAAAAAAAGAAAAAAAAAGAAAAGGAACAGGACCTGTCATCAGGCTTTAAAACCAGACTAAAAGCAAAGGAGGAAAATTCCTTCTGGTGGGAAGGAGAAGCAAGCTCCCCACATCTGCTCTTTCCATGAATGATGCATGGCCCAAGTTGACCTCCCCTATCTCTTATGTTACTCCTTGAAAGGAGCTGGTGCAGACTTCCCGTGGCCCTAGGCTCCCTTGCTGATGACTGATGACAAAGTGTATTTCCCTCCTGTTCTCCAGTTTGAAGGCAACTCATTAAAGGGGATTAACGTGCTTCAGCATTTATTATATTTACTCAATATTTGTAGTCTTCCCCTCACCAAGTGAAAAATAATAGATCTTTGCAGCTCTGCACATACTCACTTTTAAACATACCCCAAGTGTGTCAGCATATCTGTGGGTTGCAGTGTTCTGTAGTATTTTCTGGCTAAAAAATAATCCTACAGCACTATTTGCCACTCATATGTCCATCAGGACAATTTTCGTTTGGTCTACTGGAAATTACATAACCATGCTATCTACAATTTTGTCTCACCCTGATGAATTCTCACAGAGTGACTTATCCAAAAATAGTACATTATATCAGAAGAAAAGGGAGAAAAGAAAGAAAAAAGAAGAGATACCTCAGTGCATACAAAGAATTAACGGGTACCAAGAAGATATTTGAAAGAGTTATTCTCCTTATTTCTACTGTAAATCTTGATAGCATTTGAGCATGAATGGAAGTTTTAGGATTTCAAAATAGCAAAAATGGTAAAAACTAAGGAGTAGCTCTTACCCATATTGAGTGACTCCTTCTGAAAGTCCTTGGTCAGGTGCGAACGGTTGGTGATGCAGTAGACATAGCGTTCCAGTACATACCAGCACATTTCATAATAAAAAGGATAACGAAATTTATTTGGGACCTGTCAAAAGGCAAGGCATAAGAAGGTTAAGTATATAATCCTAAACAGCCAAGATCTGGCTGAGCTGACACTAGCCTAGTTGAGGTTCTGCTGAATCCAAACCCCTTCCAGCCCAGAGATGTTGGAAATTATTTAGGACCACTCTTACACTAGCCTGACTTTGAGTGAGCATAGTAGTGGGGAATCTGGGCTCAGATAGGTTTGGATCTTGCTTTACTCAGTTTCTCACCTTCTTTGCCCCTTGTCTGCATTTTTCTCCTGTTCAAACTCAGCTAGCACAGCACTTGTGGTGACAGATCAAGTTCTGTCAGCAGATCTGAGGTCAGCCAACATGAGTGGTTTTGCCAGTAAAACAGGCTTCTGCTAATTCCAAACCCACTACAGCTGGTGTATGGCTGAATCTATATTGCTCTGGGAGTCAAGTGATAGCATCTGCAACATACTTTGATAAACACCTTTGTTTCTTTGTCATTCATCCCCTTCTAGAGAAATGAAAAGGCATGAAGTACATAAAACGATGCTGTGCAGCAGTTTAGTCAGTGAGTCTAACATGTTTATTATTCAGTGTTCAGCCTAATGATTTTTCTGCTAGATCTTGAATTATGTTTTTTGGACAATCATTAAATCGTCTTGAGAGCTAGAAAACAGCCAAATGTGACATTTTAAAAAAAGCTTCCAGGAAGTCAGGTTAACCCCTGTTGTGGATGAACTGGTATAAAGCATTACACTTCAAAATTTAAAAATATTTTTAAAACCCAAGTTTCATCCTGAGAAAACATTACAGTTGTTTTTGTAAAGTAATAATCTTGCCACACCAACATTTTAAAATTCTCTGAATCCCCCCCCTCCCCGAGCGTATGTACTAATGGGCACGGCTTGGATCCTAACTATCCATTCTCCAATTGGAAGGACTTCCTTCTGCCCACAAAAACATTTTTGATCAAGTGGTAGATTTCTATGGCAGAAAGGCAGGGGCAATTATCTTCAATGCCTGCCTCTAAACTTCCAAAATATTTCCAAGGGGCAGAAAATAAAGGTGGCAAAAGTTGTCTTGTTTTTAGGTGGAGGAATCATCTTGGGAGACAAAGTTTTTATCTGCAGCTGATTGTTGAAGGAGAGAGTTTTAAAGTTGGGTGGAGAGGATAATCTTCTGTACTTTTTTCAGTAATGTGCCTTTAAATTCCTTTTAATTTAATGGATTTTTTTGCTATAAAAATCTGTTTGTGTGTCCGTTAGCATTATGTGTTGAGAGAGAAGAACTGCCTCCCATTTCATTCAATAAGATAAACAGTTACAATGAATTTTTTAAAAAATTCAGGAAGCGCTATGCTATAAACATTAGTTCCTGAAATGCCTAGGTTATGAAGCTTTGAAAACCATTTTGGAATTTTTCTTACCCGTGTGCGGTCTTCAATGCTGTAGATCCGCAGCTGCATAGGTATGTTGAAACTGTGCAGAAAGTTACCCCCAAAAACAAGGGTGTCCATAGGAGTGTATACTGCATGGATCCAACCTGAAAGAAAATAACCTATAAATTAGACATCCTGAAGTTCAACAGAACCTTGTACAATCTTGTCAGTACCAGATGAGATGTACTGTATTTTTCCTTGTATAAGATGATAATTTTCTCTAAAATATTTGGATTAAAAATTTAGGTTCATTTTATACAGGGAAGTAAGGAGGGGGGAGTGATCAAAGCACTTTGATCCCTGCTTTTCCCCTCCACTTTCTTTGCAAGAAAGTGGAGGGGGAAAGCAGGAATCATCAAAGCGATTCATCAAAGTGATTCCTGCTTTGATCAAAGCACTTTGATCGCTGCTTTCCCCCTCCACTTTCCTCACAAGAAAGCACTTTCTAGTGAGGAAAGTGCTTTGCCCCTCCACTTTCTTCTGAAGAAAGTGGGGGGGGGGGAAGCAGGAATCGCTTTGATGAATTGCTTTGATGATTTCTGCTTTCCCCCTCCACCTTCCTGCAAAGTAAGAAATTCTGGGTTACAAAAGTGGGGAGTGTCTAATACATGGGGCGTATTATACATGGGAAAATATGGTAACTAAGGCATGTGTCACAGTGGTCAGATCAAATATTTCAAGAAATGGTCATAGCTGGTGCACTGGTTTTAATTGTGCAAATGCGCTCATGACCACCACCAAGACCAGGCTCAGAGAGGAATCCAGGAGCACCCCCAAGCTGCGCACCTATGTTTTCAGGGGCAGCAGAACCCCATCCAGCACAAGCTGCATCCCTATTCCTTAATCTGCCTTTTTACCAACCAGGATTATCTGGATTCATCCTCATTCAGTCCATCAGTGATACCAAACACTGATCTAGGGCTGAAACAACGTCCTCGGATTTAGGGGGCAAGGAGAGGTACAGCTGAGTGTCATCCACATACTAGCAACACCAAACTTCAAAACTCAGAAGAATGTTTCCCAGTGCTCTTACTTAAAAGATCATCACAATAAAATGCTTTGACCAAAATAAAAGAACATTATATTTGATAATGTCAAGCTGACTATAACCCATTCTGCTCAATCCTGCTCTCTTAAATTATTTGCACATGTAACAGACAGTCTCTCTGAGTCTGCACAGGCAATAACTATTGATATTACATGGCTAACCAAGAACTGCAAGAAATATTTTAGATTTTTTGGGCTGTTTGGCCATGTTCTGGAACACGGCCAAACAGCCCAAAAAACCTACAACAACCATCGGATCCCGGCCATGAAAGCCTTTGAGAATAAACTACAAGAAATATTCTTCCCATGTTTCAAATTTCACACACAATTCTGGCTTAAGAACTTATCTTAAGTTCTGTTTACCTGAGGGTATAACAAAAGTATAGCCTTGTTTGAGCTCAATGCGCTGACAATTTGACACCCTGTCCCCAAGAAAGATGTCTCCTTGTTTCCCTGAAAGCAGCCAGTTTTCATACAACTCCAGGTTCTGTGGCGTAGGAGGAATTAACCAAAAAATCTGCATGTGGAAAAAGATAAAAAAGACCACCCCAATGTAAAACCTGGGCCTTCTTTAGATCTATTTGCTATTTGATATCTCAACCACATTTAAAAGGAGCTCACAATAACATTTTAACTATGGAACAAGTAGCTAAGGTATAGTGATGTGCCAGTGCCCTCCCTCCAAAAAAGCTTCCCAACTAAAAAAGGTTACTTACCTGTAACCATAATTTTTCGAGTGGTCCTCTGTGAATTCACATATAGGTATTGTCCGTGCCTGCGCTGACGATCTCAGAAGATTCTAGAGCTAAAGGTAACAATTTTATGGTATGATCTCCCATGAGGCAATGCTCCTCCCCTTTGCCTCCACTCTCAGTTCCTAGGATATGTCCGCCTGGCAAAGTTATGGAATTGTTAACTATTAAAGTGCCGTGACGGACAGAGGGGAGGATGGGTGGGTAGTGTGAATTCACAGAGGACCACTCGAAGAACTATGGTTACAGGTAAGTAACCTTCTTTTCTTCATCATGGCCTCTGTGAATGCACACATATGGGTGACTTGCAAGCTTCACTTACTGGCAGGTGGTACGACACGGTAAGAAGGATGCTAAGACAGCTCTGCCAAAACCAGCATCAGTGTGTACTCTGACATCTAGCCGGTAGTGCTTGACAAAGGTCAACAGTGTGGACCATGTTGCAGCATGGCAGATCTCTGGAATGTCTGTACCACGTTGGAATGCAACTGACGTGGAAAGTGCTCTGGTGGAATGTCCCTTGAGTTGGTCAGGTGGAGGTTTTCCTGACAGTTGGTAAGCAAGTGATATAGCCTGCACTATCCACCTGGAGATAGATTGTGAAGATGCTGGGCTGCCCTTGTTGGGACCATGGAAACAAACAAACAACCTGTTTGTGGTCCTGAAGTCCTTGGTTCTATTTAAATAGAAAGCCAATGAACGTCTGACATCAATTTTGTGAAGCATGTTCACTAATGGAGATGATGTAGAATTGAAAAAGGAGGGCAGAATGATTGGTTGGTTTCTTTGGAAATCAGTCACAATTTTGGGGAGAAAAGACACGTCAAAATGAAGAGTGACTTTTTCAGGATGGAATTGAAGGAAAGGAGGATCCGACCGGAGTGCAGAGAGTTCACTGGCTTTTTTGGCTGAAGTAATAGACACCAGAAAAGCTGTCTTCAAGGTAAGTAACTTGAGTCACAGATGGCCATGGGCTCGAAGGTTGGGTGCATCAGGGCATTAAGGATGATCTGTAATGACCACTGAGGAGTAATGCGTTGAGGAGGGGGACGGGTGTTATTAAGTACTTTGAGAAACTTTTTCACAGCTGGGTGAGAAAAAATTCTTGCAGAGGGTGAGTCATCAGGTTGGTGAGCAATGATCGCTGCAATATAGACTCTGAGGGTTGACATCGACAAGCCCAAATTGAAGAGATGGGGAAGATAAGAGAGTAAGGTTTTTATAGAAACTGGTATTGCAGCAAGGTCATTGTGTGTAGTGTGTTTGAGAAAGGACTTCCATTTGTTCTCATACAGGAGTCTCGTAGATGGTTTTCAAGCCAATTACTGATTGTCAAGTAGAGGGATGAGAGGTCTGGGTGGTAAACCATCCCGTAGTTCATCGTTAGAAGATGGGGGAGTAGAGGGAGTCTGAGCGTGTCCGTCTATGTCGGGATCACCCTCCAAGCTGTCAAGTAGAGGGATGAGAGGTCTGGGTTCATCGTTAGTTCATCGTTAGAAGATGGGGGAGCAGAGGGAGTCTGAACGTGTCCGTCGACATCGGCCAGAGGTAAGAGAACCATGGTTGTCTTGGTGACCAGGGAACTATCAGGACTGCGTCTTGATGGAAGTCGTGGATCTGAATCACAGTCTGTTGAATTAGTGGGATGGGGGGGGGAAGGTAGAGAAGTCCCCTGGACCAGTTGATCATAAAAGCATCCCCAATGGAATTGGCATCGGTTCCAGCTCGAGTGCAGTAAGTCTTGCATTTTGTGTTCGATTTTGAGGCAAAGACATTGATGACTGGTGTTCCACATCGATGGCAGAGGAGTTGGAAGATCGACATCTTTAGGGACCAGTGCGATCTCGATGTTAGGCTACTTAGATGGTCTGCCAGGTAGTTCTCCTCTGTGGAGATGTGTACTGCCATTGGGAAGATACGGTGCTGGTAAGACCATTTCCAGAAGTCTATCGCTAGGTGCAAGAGGGAGGAGGAGTGGGAGCCCCCTTGTTTGTTGACATAGAAAAGGGCACTACGGTAACTGAAATAAATAATATCAAGGACCACTTGTCATTTGTAATGTGCTCCCAGAAGGGGAAAAAGGGTCGCAGGGCTGAATTGAATGCAGATTTGTCTGGATAGGGGTATCAATATCGCCGATATCCCTTGCCCTTCGCTTGTGTGTTTGTCGGAGGCTGTTGATGTTGCTGCTGGTTCCGAGCACGGGTGCTTGAGGTCGATGGTCCCTGTATCGAAAAGGGTATGTCAGATTGTTGTTGACCAAAGGGACGATATGTCTGGTATCTCTGAAATGGTTGGAATATTTGTTGGAAGTATGGATTTGATCTGTAGTTAAGTTTGTAGGGACGAAAGGAAGATTGGTTTGCATAGGTCTTGGCCATTTTGCGCATCTTGGTATTGTCTGTTTTTTGATGGAAAAGACCAATGCCATCAAATGGTAACTTCTCGATTTTATGCTTGGCATCATCGTTGAGAGATGTGGATCTGAGCCACGCGTGTCTGCGGATGGCTATGGAAGATGCCAGAGATTTAGAAGCTGCTTCAGCCGTATGTCTGGCAGCTATTTTCTGTTGCTTTGCTAGGGATGTCGCTTCGGAATGGGCATTCATGAGGTCTGTCTTGATAGACTCAGGGGCAGACTCAAGAAGGGGCAGTATTTTCGCCCAAAGATGTCATTGGTAAGTGCCCATTGCTGCTTGGTAATTTGCAGCTCTCAGTAAGAAGGACTGCAATGAATAGATTCTACGAGCTATGACGTCGAGTTTTCTTCCTTCTTTATTAGCTGGTGAAGTAGACGGTTTACCCCTGGACTTCAGTAAGTTGGATTCTACTATGATCAAATTGGGAGTCGGATGTTTTGCTAAGAATTCTATGTTGAGATCTTGGGTTCTGTACATGTTGTCTGTGCGTCTGGACATTTTCAAGTCTGTAGGTGGTGTGTCCCAGGCTTCTTTGATGATTCTTTCCATGGCTGGGATGTATGCCAGACTGAGAGGCTGTGACTTTTCAGTGTGGATATCATCAAAAATGATATCCGCCTCAGGAGAAGGAGGTTCCTCAACTTTAAGTTTGAGTGCAGTGGCCATACGAGAAACCACATTGGAGTAGGAAGTAAAGTCTTTTGACGGAGATGATGGGCTCGGATCAATAGGGTTGGATTCGGGTGTAGGGATATTCTGGGGAGACTCAGGTGAAGATTCATCTTCGGTGTCATGATCTGAAGGTGGTGGAGTAGATGATGAATCGTCATCAGAGTGAGAAATGGTCTGAGATCCCTTAACAGGAACAGTTCTCAAAGTCGTTTTAGGTGTAACATGATGATCTTTTGAAGAATCCTTAGGCTGCTTAGATGGTAGGGCAGTCGAAGAGTGTGAATGTCATTTTATCGATGTCGAAAGGGATGTCGATGTCAAGAATGTTTCTGTCGGTTTCAATGTCAGTGTCGGTGGTGGAACTTGTGAACACTGTTGAGAAGATTCATGGCGGAATCTTTTAGCCGGAGTCGTTTGTGAAAAGCCCTGGTAGGCTTCCATCTGGAATTGGTTTGCAAAGGGGAAAAGATTGTCCATGCCAAGCTGCTGGAAAGCGAACTGTTGGTAAGGAGGAAAAAATGGAAACTGGTAACACTGACCGAATTGAGGCACTGATGGAGTTGGTTCCACATGCTTCCTCTTCTCCTTATGTTTCTTTGGAGATCGAGGAGAAGTTTTGGGTTCAGACGGCTCGGTGTTGAAAGCCCGCCCTGACATTGGGCTCAAATTGGCAGTGGCTGGACTGGATGGAGGCTCAGTCCCAACATGGCCAGTGGAGGGAGAGAAGCTACCAGTCAGGACTAGAGCCTGTGCTGATGGGATAAGCCCCTCATCCCGTTCTACTATAGACACCACAGCTTCCATGGAAGATTCTTCCAATATAGGAAAGGGTGGATGCTCTCCTGGCGGATCCAGATGAACAGATTTAGCTTTCTTAGGTTTAGGAGCAGGTTTCTCTTTTTTTCTTCTTGGATTGCTCCTTTGGGGCTTTTAATTTTGAAGCCCTCGAAGTATCAGAGCCCACTTTGGAATGGGGCGAAGGAGTAGAATGCCCAGAGTGGTAGCTGAAACTTGTCGTGGCAAGTCCGTTTCTGAGTGAGGTAACTCAGCAGGAGCTGCAGCAGCAGGATTCATGGAGGCTTCCCAAAGATGAGATCTCAATCTCTGGAGTCTGTGTTTTAGTGCCAGCTTGGTAAAACCTTTACAAGCCGTGCAAGATTGGGTTTGATGTTTCTCGCCCAAACAGAATAAGCACTTGTGGCCGTCTGAAGATGGAATTTTGCTATTGCAGCTGACACAGAGCTTGAAAAGGGCCGAGGAGGCCATAAAGGGCGGGAAACAACAGCTGGAAGTCCAAGGGGAAGGTATTTGAGGTAAAAAACGGTGAATGAAAAGAAAAGCAACTCACAGGAGATCAAGTAAGAAGTTGTTGATTGAAAAATAAGATGTGTAATTGGTAATTTGCAGGTAATTGCTGGCACAAAAAAAGGTGTAATAATTGCTTTCTTCTGTAGAACGTTTCGGCACAGCGGAAAAAAGGAACTGAGAGGGGAGGCGAAGGGGAGGAGCACTGCCTCATGGGAGACTATACTATAAAATTGTTACTTTCAGCTCTAGAATCTTCTGAGATCGTCGGTGCAGGCTTGGACAATACCCATATGTGTGCATTCACAGAGGCCACGATGAAGAAGACCCCTTTACACTTTATTCAGCAGTCTGGACACAACAGTACTTGCCAAGATCAACACATCAGGTTTGAAGAAGAAGAAACATGAGTGTACTGCATGTTTGGATACAGTACCACTCTCACCCATGTCTCATTCTTTTTGGGGAGGGGACAAAGTCCCCCCTTCAAACTGCAACAGACATCGATAGATTAATGTGGAAAAACCACTTCACACTAACCTGATGTGAATTAAACCACTTCACACTAACCCGAGTTTATTTCTGACGCCTCTGTAGGCATTCTGGCATGCTGCTGATTATGCTTAAAAATTTATTTTGTCCCTATTTTTCAATAATGTACTCCACAATATCCAATTTTCCACCAAGATCTTTCCTAGGAGCATTCTACCACATCTTTATCTCTCTCGAGTACACCTTTGTTCCACTGTCTGACTTGTGTTTATAGCACATACTAGCCTTCTACAATTCGGTGTTTTCAAAACGTTTGATTACCACCAGTGCCAGACCGCATGGCAAACAACCATGGCTATGGATTATCCAGACTGTGTAGCCTAACACATCTGAAGTGCATGTGACTTACTCATCAATCCTGATACAGAAACACATAATTTATATTCTATGTGTGTCTATCTTACTAAGAGTATGTCATAAGAAACCTATCACGAGAGACAGCCTCAACAATATGAATTATGTAGAGACTACTGTTTTTGTGAAGCATAGTATGTCTGGACTGAGTAGTTACTATAAACTCATGAGATAGAACAAAACATCCCATTGCACAAACAGTGGTGAGACAAGGTTGTTCAGAAAAATGAGAGTCACTGCAGCAATAAGATATGCCAAATGTGGATAGAGAAGGGTACAAAAAAAACAAGGCATCATTATGGAGTCAATGAGTGCTGTTCTGCAGCACAGGTCAGCCTCTGATGTAGTATTTTCAGTACTAAGGGGCAGAAAAGGAAACTGCAATTGGAAATCAGGGCTTCATAAATTTTGAAACCTGCCTTCCACAGTTAATTCAACTGAGACATTCCCATGATAGTATTGAGGTTTGTTCATACATAATAAACGTGGGGGAGAGGTATTTGGTGTTCACAATAACACATTGGAATTATCGAGACTCAAACTGTGATAGCAGGCAAAGGTTTTCAACAAGATAGAAAAGGAAGATCTGCTACAACTTTCTTGAGAAGGAAATGATATGTCCTAATGACTAAAGAACATGTCACACACATGAAGCTCTTTCTGCAAATAAAACTAAATAAAAAGGTCCATGGTTCATACTTTCTGTTGATGCTAAGAATAAATTTTGACAATGCCTTTTAAAGATTCCATGAAAAGCTGACAGGAGGTGGATTACTTTTTATATAACATGGAACTAACAGCTGCCATGACCTCCCTCTCTATCCATTCAAGATGAAGGAAACCCATGCTTCTCCAACAGATGTGAGAGTTTCTGTTGTGGGATCAGTTCCCTTCCATGGGTCTGGGAAGTGTAATTAACAAAAGAAAGAAAAAAAAGCAAGCAGCCTAAGGGCTCATCCTCCCCTTTCTTAAATAGGAAACTTATTGGTATGTGAATCAAGCAGACAACTTCTGGACAGGCTGGATTATATCTAAGAAGGCACCAAACTTTACTATATTTTAAGGAAGAGAGTTACAACATATTAAAAACAAAAGATTAATGCAAGACAGAAAAATCATACAAGTGGATCTCTGGGCTCAAGATTTAAAAAACACAAACAGTAATGGAAAATGGACAACAAATGCAGTCATTTTTGGAGAACTAGCCCAGCCAAAACAGAATCATAATCCATGATGCAAACTAGCTCATTACAGACTTTATCCCCCACTGTCCTAGGATCAACTGCTCTCCCCACACAAGGCCAGCTGAAGAGAAGATGGAAATAAGACCAAAAAGGAGTGATTTGCTGGCAATTTAAAGATCACTCCATGAAACCATTTGGCTGATAGGGGTGAGGCATCAGCTGGCCCTGTAAGTCACCAGTAGCATCACCACTGACATAGCAAATTTCCTTCTCAGGGTGTTATCCCTGTCCAGCCTTTCTAGGCATGTTATGGTGCAAGCTGTAACATGAACAATGGGGCCTTTTATATATGTTGCTGCACTTTGACAAGGATGAATCTACTATCATAAACCAGATTAACCAACTGATCTTACTATATCATCTATTACTATACTATTTCTATAACTAAAACAAAGTACTGTAATCCTACAAATGTCCTTATTTTGTTAAGTTACATAAACAAGCACTTCTAGTCTATAAAACAGTACAAGTAAAAAGGGAGGAAAAGAGGGGAAAGAAATTTGAGAAAAGGATCGAGAGATGAGTTGAGACGACATGGATGATCTAGAGCTGCATGTTCAGATATACAGAACTATTACACATTTTCATAGAAAACTTGTTATACTTCACTACAAATGATACATGGGCGCATTTATTTGTTAATTTTATAGAACAGGTAGGATGAAGTGCCTGTAACCATTTAACAAAACAGGGATAGTATGGAAAGACTGTCTTGACTAGGAAGCTTCACAATTCATGAAAAAGCTAAGCCACTTTCATAAAAGTAAAACTTCAAAGTTTTAAGATCTATTGAATAGATATGCTAGATTTTTACATTTTCCAGTGCTATCTAAAAGTCATTTCATGGAATGACCCCTGTAGGAGATTTGAAGTATTTATATCCCACCATACAAATACAGGATCTTCAAGACAGCTAAGCTTAACCATGTAACTGATTATATAGTATCTGCTTCATTACTCATTCATACAGTTCTTTTTAAATTTGTCTCGTGTTCTATTAGTAACATACTGAACCCAACAAGTAACCACAACGACACCATAATAAAGCTTAAATTCTACGGTGGGGTGGCCAGATACCAGCTAATGAGCTGCTTGTGGTAACGGGATAGCTCAAAAAGGGGATTGATGATACAGTACTATAGTTTCTCAGCAGGCAAATGTGTTAAGAGCAAACAGAACTGGGCTCATACTATCTCAATCAGATGTCATACTGAAGGAGCTGAAGAAAGCAGAAGTTGCCTACTGGAAAAGAAACCAGTAATGTAGAGGTTTAAGATGCTGTATGATCCTTCCATTGGCAGATTAACTGAATTTTAATTCTATTCAATTGAGCATTAAAACATCCTGCCCATTCTCCCCCATAAAACAGAGCAAGGTGCTGGGATTATCACAATACCTTTCCCCCTCTATGGATGTGATACCATACTGAAGTACCACCAAAGTCTACATGGAAGTCTGTATAGCAGCCCTTGACACTCATCAGGCAGTATCTGCAATGAAACAAGAACCAGAAATAAAGTTGTAACTCAGTCTTGCATTTCTATATAAACATGGAATAAATACTTTGCACTGGAGTACTACCTGACAGTATTTTAATGATTTGCACTTTAAGAACACTGTGTCTGTGTGGATGCACGCTTGCGTACGTGTGTGTGCTTGAGTGTGTGTGCACATGCACACGTGCATGTGTGCTTTCAAGTGAATTCTAACTTACGGTGACCCTTTTCAGGGTTTTCTAGGAAGAAAGTACTCAGAAGTGGTTTATCATTCACTTCTTCTGGGGGCAACCTGCAGCTCACCCAAGGCTGGCTCTTTTCCCTGGAACTGAACTACCAACCTCTGGTTTCACAGCCAGATGCCCATCCGACTGAGCTATCCAACCAGCTATTAAGAGCACTAGTCACTCAGAATCAACACATTCACAATTCCACTCTCCATGCCAATCACTGTTCATCCAAAATGGAATGCTTAGATAAATATAAAAGACATGGCTACTACTGCATCAGAACAGGGACAACTTACATTCCTGTAATAAGAAATACATTTAGTGCATTGTTGCAATTGCTATTATTTAAGAGAATAAATATATTTGCCTTTCTACAACATAAAGTACAAGACAGTTGTTCTGTGCCACTGTCTTTACTTACGAGAACATTAAGGACTGCCTTTAGGCCTTCAACTTGATGTACTGAAAGTAAAATTTTAGCAATACAGTATCTAGAATGCCTGAAAAGGAAGCAACAGCACTAGAGACATCTTTCTGAAACCTCAACTCAGTAGATGGCTGATTGTACAAACACAATTTCAAGTTACTTACTTCTGCACCTTAGGGTACTGCATATCCAGAATAGCGTTTGTCGATTCTGTCTGACTTTCTTTCAGATGTCTTGGCCACATGTTATCAACCCAATCAATCAAATCCACCTGAAACAATATAAAGGCACGTTGTTGAAGCTCAAGTAGTATTAAGATGCCTTGCTACTATTGAATTATATTTCTAGAAGTAAAATAATTTACTGAAATAAAGACTGAGATTTATATGTTGAGGAATAGGATCACTGAAATATCTGAGAACAGATTATAATTTCATTTAGCACCTACTCTTTAAAAAAGACAAAGTCAAATTTCTAAAACTCAACTACAGATTAGATGTACAACTACTGTACATCTTAATCAAAATATGATGCTCATTTTACCTTCTCCCATGACCAGTCCATTTTTCTCCCTAGCAGACTGTAATTATTACTCCATTATAGTAGTCTTTGTTGTGCAGTACAATCCTATATGCACTTATATGGAAATAAGACCAATGACTTCAGTACAGATTATTCTAAATAGGTAGACATAAGATTGCAGTCTTAAATGTATCTGTAAGGAATTACCAAGAGGTATGTTAAAACAGTTTCACATAACTGCATGGGGGAAGAATAGATCCATGGCACAATACTTTGCTTTCTTGAAAGTGACACCAGATTATTGCTAAGCTAAATGAAAACACAATAAAATTATGACTCGAATCCTGTTGGCGGAGCTGAGCAGTCACAAGTCCTCAGGTTTTGAGGGTTCCTACAGTTCCTTTTCAACCTGGGGAAGACTTTGGAAGCCTTGGGATAGAGTGGGGAGCTTTTAATATCCCAAAATTGCTGTTGCTGATCTGCAATTAGGTTTGGGAACACCAGAGGCCATTTGTGGATATTAAAGGCTCCCCACCCTATCCCAAGGTTCCCATAGGCTTCTTCAAATTGGAAAGGAATCCCCCAGAGTGTGTTGGAACCTGGAGACTGGGGATAGGGAACTTTAAATTAAAGAGCTAATGGCATCATCAGGCTTATGACCACACAGCTCTTCCAACAGCTAATGTCTGCTTTCTCTAAAAAAAAATTAACCAGTTTCTAGTCAACCTTTAAGCACACATTTAACATTACTATGTTTCCTTAATACTAAGTTGTACTGTGATATACATTATATATAAGTTTTCTCAAGTTTTCTCCCTGAATGCTACCACTCACCACTGTAACATGGCCACAATTTCTCATTAGCATTGATAATTCTGTCTATGGAAAGCATAATGTTTAGAAATCTGAATCCCTTTTGACAGCGAGAACTGCTGATAGATTTCAGCATTTAAGTTTTATGTTCAAGTAGTATAAGTGTAGTTCTACAGATACATAGCATCCTTCCAAAATATCTATCTGAACCATGGGTGGGCAAAGTTCAGCTCTCCAATTGTTATTGGAGGGCATCTCCCAGTATTTCTCACTGTTGGCTGTGCTGCTGATGGGATTTGCATCCCAGTAACATATGGAGGACTGCACTCTGCCCACTCCTAGTTTATTCCATTGTTACTATCAGCTCTGTGTAATATGAGTTAAGCACACATCCTCCAAAAATCTGTATTAAGAGTAGGCAAGCCATTTTCCACAAAAATGAAATAAACAGAGCAGAAAGATGTTTGCCAGCAGAAGGAAAGACATCCCACTAACCGTATTTGGTCTTTGCACCAGGTTCTCAAGCCGGGTGTGGCTGAACTCCAAGCTGATGACATTATACAGTTTCTCTCGCTCCTCCTCTGGAGTTTCATAGTAGCGTGCCCACTGTGCCATTGTCATCTCAATGTCTCTTTGGGTGTTCACATCCATGACATCCACCATTCTCCGACTCCCTATGAACACATACACACACGTAACTATTTTGGCTAGGAACAGTAGCAGAGAAGTTGGAAGGAAATAAGATAGGAAAGAAAAATACATATTAAGAAGCCTCAGAGGGAAAAGTATACAATCCTCATCCAAGGCCCTCTGATTTACGAGTCCTTTGTCCTTAAGAATTTCCCTATCATTTTTGCACAAGCCTAAATTCTGCTCTTGATTTTAAAAATTCAGTGAAAAGAAAATTCTACATTAGACTCCAAGATATATAAATATCATATATAGTCTTTCACCTGATTAACTAAAAAAAATGCAGTTACCTACGTAGAGTCGCACGTCATTCACACTGAAGTCTGGATCTGGCATCCTGTAACAGAAAATAAAAATAAATTAACAGTCTCACCGTACCCCTGTCCTCTATGCAATGTACTCTGATCTCCAGAAATACGTAGGTGTAAATAGAATGGGCTAGACTTGCAAACAGATTATGATTGGATGATATCTCCCCTCCCCCGCTCCAATCCCATCATGACATTCCACCATTGTGTCTCTCTCTTCCTTAAGGAGCAGAAAGCTGCAACACTGCAAAGTCCCAAAGCACAGGTGTAGCCATTTCAATACTACATTGAAACCACAGAGCCCCACCTGCCCAATCTTTTCATATAAATCACTCTGTGTAAGGTTCACCTGAAAAGCAGAATAAATATAAGTCAAAGAAACACAACGAATGCAGCTTAATTTTCCCCCAGGAATTTAGATTATTAGCAGTCATTTCCCACTACAAAAATGTCAGACTCTAATAGAATTATTGTCTCTAGTGACTAAGAGGCATATTTCAGAATCAGTATGCCCTTTGAGTTCCAACAGTTATGGTTGGCACTTTTGCTTAAATTCTAGTCATTCTGAAGAATACAGAAATGGCCTGTACATGCTATGACATGTTTGGAATCACTGAGGGTAAAAATGTTTTATATTCCATCTCAACTTGGGAGAGGGTAATAATGATAGCTGTGCACAACAGGTCTTTTGAAATTCTCCACCTTATTACTTGGAAAAGAAACTATTTCATCAAATTTCTGCAAGGAAAGAAAGAGAAAATCTCCAATAATTTCCCAGAGGTAGAATCCACCATCAGCAGTGTTTTTTAGCCAATCTTGTTATTTTTCCCCCAAATAATTTTTGAGTTTTGCACTGCTACTGTACAGAGCAACAAGAGCAATGGTGTTGGCTGCCTGGTCTTCACTTCCTCCAAAATGCTCTCTGTGTCCAATGTCACCCTGAGGCATCATGGTTAATTGTGGGGACAGCCAAACAAATAATGGCAGAGAAATTTCTGAAATATATATAATTAACAGTAGTGTGAATGGAAGGACTCCTGGAGCTGTATCAGCACAAGGTAGGAAGGCACATATGTGGACAGAATATACAAAAGAGTTCTCTTCAGAGGAAGATGAAGCAATGAACCAAGCAACATACAGGTTCTTTGTCAGCAGAATCACGTTTCGTCTTAATAGTCAAAGTAGTAACAGAGAACATCTTGCCAGAATCAGTGACCATCTTACATAATATTAACCATTCACTGTACCATTACTTACTTTATTCCAAGTCCATCACAATTCTTGAAGATTAAAGGATCCCTTAAGCCTCCACGCTGAATATATTCCGCGGTGAAGTCTTTCAGGAGAAGATGGAGAGAACTCTGGTTAGAGAGACTTAAGAGGTGACAAATATAAACCAGGAAAGGAAACTGTTGTGGCAAGGAGAGTAACAAAGAATGTGAGCAGTAATGATTCTAAAGCAACAGATTTGCCATCTCAGGTTACATCAGCTCTAACTTAATATACTTTCTTTAGCCACCTGTAGACAGGCACAAGTACAGAAATATTATACTAGTTAAAAGCTGGGTTGAGATGGTCAGAACCACTTGTGTTGATTTATTCCCCAAAGTACTAAAATTATCTATTTAGTTTTCAGGTAGTCTTATGCAAGAACATGATTTCAGGCTTAAAGACAAAATCATTATTCCAACCCTTCTCTATTCCCATTTATTAAAAGGCACATAATTCTGCTAAGCCCCACATATGTTCCTGGTTACTGAAGTCCTCAATCTCAGCACCGTACAGCTGCAAAATAACAGTTCTATAGCTCTGACTGCTGAGTCTCAAAGCTAAGGCAGCCAAAATCTAAAGCTGTGCTTCAATGGTGTAATGTTACAAGATGGGGGATATTTGGCTCAATGCTACCACCAGTGAGAAGGCTCTCTGAATTGTTGTAGATCACAAGTTGAATATGAGTCCACAGTGTGGTGTGGCTGAAAAATAGGCAAATGCTATTTTAGGATGCATTAACAGAAGTATAGTCTCCAAACCCCGTGAAGTACTAGTCCCCCTCCATTAAGAATGGGTTACGCCTCATCTTGAGTACTGTGTCCAGTTCTGGACACTGCACTTTAAGAAGGATTCCTACAAACTGGAACATGTTCAGAGGAGGGCAACAAGGATGATCAAGGGACTGAAAACCAAACGCTATAGGGAAAGATTAAAGGAACAGGGCATGTTTAGCCTTGAGAAAAGATGATGGAGGGGGAGAGATGATAGCACTCTTGAAATACTGGGAAGATTCTCAAACAGAGGAGGGGCAGGATCTCTTCTCTATCATTCTAGAGTGCAAGACATGTAATAATGGGCTCAAGATACAGGAAGCCAGATTTTGGCTGAATGTCAGGAAAAACCTCCTAACTGTAAGAGCACGAGATGGCGAGCGCTCCCAACACTGGAGGCATTCAAAACAAAACTGGACAACCATACAACAGATCTACTTTGATTTGGATTCTTGCACTGAGGAGGAGGTTGGCCTCAGGTCTCTTCTAACTCAATTATTTTATGATTCTATGTGACAAGGCAACGTACTATCTATCCTTCCATAATGTCCATAGGAAAAGGAGGAGAGATATACTATTCACTTTCTGATCTTAATCCAATATATAGAATACTCTTACAGGTTTGACCAGGACTGTTTCCTTAATTCGTGTTTTATGTTCCTGAACATGCCATCCTTCCTTGTCTACAGCAAAAGCCCTCAAGTCTGAAATTTACAAATTAATGACTGAAATCCTGTTGTATTGCTACACAAAAAAGTGTAACTTTTGGATGTGAACTGCCTCAAGAAATCTCTGTAGGTAGTATCTGTCACACACTGAGTTGCATGGCTCAGCATGCAATAGATACTGTAATGTCTACAGACATTTCTTAGCTCAAGGCAATTCACCTCCAAAAGTTACTCCTTCTGCATAGCAAAATATTATGCAGGACATATATGCATAATATATATGTACAGATATAGATAGATAAGTCCAGATATCTCTGCCCATCTTGTCTAATGTTTCATTTTACATTGATAAATCTAACAAATCTAGTAATCATAAAATATTTAGTCCACAGTAGATATGAAAGCAACCCTGACAAATGGCTATTCAATTGTTATTTAAAAATCCCCACTAACAGAGTTCACAGAAGGTAGTCCATTCAATCAGAAAACTGATCTTACTATCAAGAAACTTGTACTAATATTTAGCTGAAATATCACTTTTTGTAATTTAAATCCAATGGGCTGTGACCCGCCTTATGGAGTTGCATAAAATAAGGTTTCTCCTTCCATGTGACATCCTGTGAGGCTGGGAGTACCCAAGGGGCACTTCTCAGAGTGCACCATTCACCTCCTCGGCTGAAGACACTGAGGGACAGATAGCCACCCTGGAGGAGAACCTAAAGAGACTGTATTTGGCAGAGCAGGGGCATAAAGAACACGAGAAGAAGGAACCACCAGAGGGTGCCATTTCGGCAGGAAGGAGAGAGGAAATAAAAGAAAAGGGGGCAGTTGGAAACTGAAGAGGGAGAAGCATGTTGGGTGGAGGGAGGATGAGAGGAAAAAAAAAGACTGGGTGGAGATAATACAAGAGGACCCCGGACAGGGGAGTGGCCTAAGTTTAAAGTCCCAAGGAAGTATGCTGAGAAGGAATGGAGGAGAAAAACCTATAGAGAACCACCTTACTGGGGAGAGATGGAAGAAAGAGAACAGAGGAGAAAGTTCAGGGAGTGGCAGCAGCAGGCGATACAAAGAAGGGAGAACAAGCCATGTCCAGACCGTCCTGGGAAGCTCCATGGGATGAGCCCATTCAGACTGAGGATAAGACAAAACCCGGGCAAGAAAGTATGGGAAACCACAGGTGGGATGGGTTTTCCACCCTCCCCAGTAAGGTCAGCTGTAGATGTACCCAATAGATCAGGCGTTCCAAAGAGGGGACGTTCCACAGACTTGAGTTCTACCCCTATGCAATTAGAGTGGGATTTGTTATGGCTCAATGAGAAAAGAAAAGGCACAACATTCCTGAAGCAAGAGATGGAGTTTGTTTTTAATGATGAGTTGAGCAAGCTATCAAAGAACAAAGGATTTTTGTTAGAAACTTCTGGTGTCCCCGAGTCGTCCATCCAGCAAGATCCAGATAAAGAAGAAAATGGAATTACACCAGATCACACAGGTTTTCAAATATATAAAGATGGCAACCATAGATACTTCAACCTTCTCTCTTCTAAGGTAAATGTATTCAACTCTATTAACTGTTCTTTCCAGGACTTCATTTCCAGACTTTTTTCCATGTTGACTGACCTCCTTTGAACACGTTCCAGCTTGTCAACATTCTTAAACTGTGGTCTCCAGAAAGGGATAGTATCTCAAATAAAATCTGACCAATGCAGAATAGGGTTGTACTGCTTTTCCCCCTGCTTTAGACACTACACTTCTGTAGATGCAGTGTAGTAACACATTCCTTTTCTTGTTGAAGTATCTTGCTGTTGACATTTGTTTAATTTGTAATCTACAAAAATCCTCAAATTCCTTCCACACATAACGAGGCACAAATCAGTTGTCACCTGTCCGTCATGTGTGCATCTGATCTTCCCTGTCTAAATGAAGAACTTTATATTCTTTCTTGTTGAAACTCATTTTGTTTTGGCTAAGTTCTTCAAACTGTCACAGTATGTAATCTGTGACAGATAGATCATGTCTTCTGAGCCATTACCTGTCTCCCACCAGTTAGATTAGTATCCCCTCCACATTCTCAGCCATGTCATTTATAAAGGAGAATGTCATGAGAATGGTTGACAGTCGGATTCCAAAAGATCTCCTGTATGGAGAATGAGTACAGGGAAAGCACCCCAGAGGGACACCACAGCTGCGATACAAGGATATCTGCAAGCAGGTTCTGAAGGCCTTAGGAATGGACCTCAACAGATGGGAAACCTTGACATCCGAGCATTCAGCCTGGAGGCAGGGCGGTACAGCATGGCCCCTCTCAAGGCACTTGTTCAGCAGGCCGAGGCAAAGAGGCAGTCCCAAAACCAGTAAAACCAGGGAGCTGGACAGGGGACAGATTGTATTTGTCTTCAGCATGGAAGGGACTGTCACTCTTGAATTGGCCTTCTCAGCCACTCTAAACACTGTTCCAAGACCTATGTTCAGAGCACGTTACCATAGTCTCTCGAGACTGAAGGATGCCTACATTTATAAAGATGCTGACCAAGGCCCAAGACTGAACCCTGGGGCCTTCGGGTTGTCATTTCTCTCCAGAATCACAAATAACTGTTAGTGAGCATTTTTGGGGTAGGTAAAGGTGAAGGTTCCCCTTGGCATTTAGTCCAGTCGTGTCTGACTCTAAGGTGCGGTGCTCATCCCCGTTTCCAAGCCATAAAGCGAGCATTTGTCCACAGACAGTTTCTGTGGTCACGTGGCCAGCATGACTAGACACGGAATGGCATTACCTTCTCACTGAGGTGGTAGCTGTTTATCTACTTGCATTTTTACATGCTTTCGAACTGCTACATTGGCAGGAGCTGGAACAAGTGACAGGAGCTCACTCTATTGCTTGGATTCGATCTTACGATTGCTGGTCTTCTGACCTTGTAGCACAGAGGCTTCTGTGGTTTAACCCACTGTGCCACCACGTCCTTTTTTGGGTACAGTCTGCATACTGCTACAAATCTACCTAATGGTAACACTGACTAACTAAAATTTTACCAGCCTGACAACACCATGAGGGACCTTGCTTTGCTGAAATCAAATTATACTACATTCACAGTATTCTCCTCACCTCATCTACCAAGCTCATGACTATCAAAAAGAGGCAAAATTAATCTGAAACAACTTATTTCTGAGAACCACTATCTGCTTAATCATCACAGCATTATTTTAAAATTATGCAAGGTCTATATGATCTGTTCTAGAACCTTTCCTCATATCAATATCAAGCTGACAGAGCACCAGTTGTCCAAATCCCTTCTTCCACTTTTTGAAGACAGGGATGACATTTGCCCACTTCTGGGAAAATTCTTGTTCTCCAAGAATTCTCAGAAAGAATAGACAGAAGTTCTGAGATTACAAGTGTAAATTCCTTTTGTACTCTTGAATACAGTTCACCTAATGCAGACTTAGATTTATTTAAAGAGGCTAGGTGTTCATATACCTCCTCTTTACTTATCCTGGACAGCAGTTGCCTTGTTGCCTCTTTTATTCTACTTATACTAGCATTTACTTTTGGGAGAAGGCATTCAGCAGTTTTGCCTTCTCTCCATTACTCGTAAGTGTTTCTCCATCTTTTCTATACATTGGATCTAGCACTT